ACAAATCACTACAACCTTCAAGAATTTAGGTTCTTGAAACCCTTAAACTTTCACTCACTTTCTTAGGCTATGAGCAACCTTTTCACTAGGGTCTCATTACCCTCAACTCAAATAAACAGAATGAGAGTGTTTAGAAATGGATTTGTACTCTTGAAGTACAGATTATACAAGTTGAAGCTTATGGGTATTGATCAATGACAAAAGAATGAAGCTCAAAGAATTTTTATGATCAATATGAGTAAGAACAAGTGATGAATGAGTTTGATTCAATGAGAATAGTCAGTAATGATTGCAAAATCAATGGAACAATAAATCTTAGCTTTCTGAATCGTAATAAATAAGTTTATATAGGTGTTGGCACGAAACTAGCCGTTAGAAAGCTTACTGCCTAGTAAGTATTCAAATACTTTTCGTGAAGTATTCAAATACTTCATCAGGTATTCGAATACTTCATCAAGTATTCAAATACTTTTCTTAATGTATTCGAATACTTTGTTCACAGCATAAGTATTTGAATACAGTCAAGAAAGTATTGGAATACTTTCTTGACATAACATAAATAATGCAATTTTTTGAGTTGTAAAGCATTTCTACTTTCCTCTGATCACTTTTAATGTAATTTCTTGACTTGTTGAAAATGTTTTGAAGTTACCAAATATGTCAAGGGTCTTTTTCATAAATATTAAAGCTTTCAAGTGATTGATGTCATGGATAATGCATGCATAGAGTTAAATATTCTTTGAGCTCATTTATGCATCATTAATCAATTACCTTTACATTTAGATCTAATCTCTCAAGGATATATTGCAATCTTGATCTTTGATCTTGATCATGTGTGTTGAATGATTTGCTCTTGTTGTTTTGTTGAATTACTTCCTTGGACTTTTGATTGTTGCAAGTTGTATTATCTTTGACGTCGCTTCTAAGCTTGTTTGTTATCATCAAAACTCTTGTATAATTGAACTCTTCATTTTAAGTGCATTGGTTTCACAGTAAGGGTGACTTAATACCCTATATTGGTTTGATGATTTGTACTTTGTTATTCTAGAATAAAGTCAATTTCAGTAAGACTTATATTCCAAATCTTTTGTGATACACGTATATAATTAGAATTCAAAATATGTAAGTAATATTCCTAGGTTGATAATCAAAGGTTGTTACAGAGGGAATGATAATTGATAAGTAGGGGGAAAATGGATTCATACACTTATTGCAATATTTTGAAGGAAGGTAATAGATTTGGGAACAATGGTGAAGTCTTGTTCATTCTCTATCTCAAAACTTTTTGAGTTTTAATCTATATAGAGCTTGAAATATATTTTAATGAAGAATATTATTTCAAAGAAATAAATAGAATATATACAAAAAATATAACACTAAAATTTACTTTAATTTTGTATATTTAAATGTGACTATAATATAATTAATGAGAAGCCATTTGTTTTGGCAAGCATTAAAAACTTGGCAATTAATTCATTTTGTATAGTATTAACAATTTTTTACCTAGGCCTTATAAGTCTCATAAAATTCATTCGACCTAATTTGTGTCTTTACCTTCACCATTTCCCCCCCAAAAAACCATCACCATCATTCCTCACCACTGTTTGTGTCGTACCTGAAATTCCACTATTGATAGTTATTAGTCCAAATCTATTATATTTATCGCGTAAGGTAGGGTTTCATAGAGTTCGCCACATTACGCATACCTTTTCCTCCGGTGATTGAATATAATGCCAGAATTTATCCATCATTTCATTTCGGTAAGTTGCGAAATCATTGATCATCGATTATATATCATGATGCAAATTATTTTTTCTTCCTCAATTGGATCTTTCTATATATTATTATATGATTTTGTATGTGGAGTATTTTGGGGGGAAATAAGAAAAGTTTTTTTCTTCTGAAATTTGAATAGAAGAAAAGCTTGTAATTTCTTATGTGTTGTTGTTCTTGAGAGGAAAATTATGTTTGAGATTATTTTGTGTTGACTGTGTGTAATTGTATACATTTTTGTGTCTCATGCATTGAGGTGTTTCTAGAACCCTAGAGCCCCCCGAATTCAACTTTTGTGATTTGTGCATGTTCAGGTGGCCCAATGGAAGTGTGGATAGGCTCTCATACTATGTGAGAATAATTAGCCCTAACTCTATTTCAGAAGCTAGTTCAAGGAAAGAGAATTGCTCAAACATTATAAAGGAAACATTGCTCGTATATTTAGGAGATGTGAGATCTACGAACATATGCATTTATATGTTGTGAATCTTTGTTCCTTTTTTCTTTTCAAAATGCTCATATATGGTTATTTTTGTTCATGCATTTATATATAAAATTTCAATTAAAAAATATTTCATTTTATGAATGTTCAAGGTGCATTCCTATGGATTATGTGGTGTTTTTTGCATTAAAATTCTACACCTACTCTTATATGATAAATACTAACAAAAATGAATTATTCCTCATGATCTTGCAAATACAGCAGCGAGGAAGAAACGTGAGCTGATATAGTTTTTTTAAATTATTTATCCTTTTAATTCTAAACAATAAAGTTGTTATTTTATGATATTACTAATTCGGTATGAAATGTTAGGAAACTCGGGGTTGGCTTGCAAAGGCTCATTAAGGAATCACTTAACTTCCTTCTCATAATGAACATATAGATTTTATTGTAGAGGATCTCTCCTTTCCTTGCACAACTCACCAATCCTACATCTTGCTAGAGCAATTCCTTACTCAGACTAGTGAGGTAGTGGTCAAAAAGCTATGACTCTTCTCTTCGTTATCATTAGAGAATATTTTCGATTCTTTACCCATTGAAGATATATCTTACGTTCATACATTTTATAAATTGTTACTCTGCTGAAATATAAAGCTATTATGCCCTTGCATATTCCTCCTCTCTTAATCCATCATGTAGTTGGGATGACAAAAGTTAAACACAAATGATTAACTTTTTCGAACTAAAAGTGCCAAAACTATGGTAATAATACATACATTGAAAATATTCTAATAGTGGTTACCATTTACTAACTTTGTTGTTGTTTATTTTTAATAATGCAGGTGATATGGAATAACTATATTAAGGCTCATATTTAAAGCCTTCACCATGAAGAAATACATAACATCCTAGTCAAGAAAGGTTGCTCATACCACTCCTTTGCAAACTGATCTTCAAGTCACCCTTACAAGAACCAATTGAGAGACATTTCTACCTCATCACTTGCCGAAAGCAATCAGAGGCATTTGCCAAAGCTGGTCATCTCCTCACTATAAATATAAGTGTGCTAAACATAAGGTACACATTCTTCTACATGAATTTACATAAAATTTGACTTGCGCGTCAGAGTGTCTTGCGAGTACACTCCCTACCTCGTTCTAATGAAGACCCAAGTGTTAAAGCTGCATCAAATCACTTGTAGAAATTCATCAATTATGGTTAGCTTAAGTAAAACTAATATGGTCAGCAGGAATATGTGATAAAAATACTAACAAAAATGAATTATTCCTCATGATCTTGGGTCAAAGATGATAACGAGGAAGAAACGTGAGCTGATATAGCTTATTTAAAGTATTTATCCTTTTAATTCTAAAATATAAAGTTGTTATTTTATGATATTACTAATTCGGTATGAAATGTTAGGAAACTCATTTGGGTTGGCCTGCAAGGCCCATTAAGGAGTCACTTCTCTATCTTCTCATAACGAACATATAGATTTTATTGTAGAGGATATCGCCCTTCTTTGCACAACTCACCAATCCTACACTTTGGTGTAGCAATTCCTTACTCACACTAGTGAGGTAGTGGTCAAATGACTATGACTCTTCTCGTAATAAAAACGTAAAATTATTATGCTCTTGCATATTCCCCCTCTCTTAACACATGAGATATACATACCCCTACGGTGACTCCTTTAACTTTGGCCCATGTCATTATCTCTATAAATAACCACGTAGCAATATACTTCACCATTTAGGGAATAGAGGTCTAGTTCTATTACATAACAACTCAACTCATAACAAAAAAAGGTTGATCTTTTGCCTATGATGAGGCTAGGAAAATGAGAGCGAGGAGAATATGTTATTTATGAGTTTATGCTGTTAATGAACAATTAACAACTAGAATTTGCATGCTATTACATGTTGTTAATGTTATTAGGCGAACAAATTGACAGGATTTCTTCCCAAAAAAAGAAGGGGCCTATACTAAAGTATTTTGGGAAAGAGCAATCAAAGACTGTTCAAGGCATGAGATTTGGTGTTTGCTCCTTTCACGCACTCAAACCCACTAGCTGTTCTGGGGTCTCAATGATGTATTCAACTAGTGGTGTCACATCATGTGAATCGAGAGGTTTGAAATCAGAATTACATTCAAGTGATGCAAGAGTTCAAGCTTTAGAGGAACAAATGGTATTTCTTGTGCAAAACTTTAGGAGTCAATTGCGGTGTGGTTTTCCATCTTCAAAATATATTCAGGTAAGTTGTTCATGTATATATTACCATTAGTCATCTCTCGTATAGTTGCATGAGTTATCTCTCATAGCTGACAAGGAATCAGAAAATCATTCATAGTGCTACAATCCATTGCATCTCTTGAATATGCTTCATGTTTTATTCTTAGTTTTTTTTTTTGGAAATTTTTTGGAGGTTTTATTGATTTACAAAATATTATATGCATGTCTCAAATTAGGTACATTAATAAATAAAAGTAATCAACGAATTTATAAAAACAAAAACAACTCTTAATCATAAATTGTAATTTTTCTATAACATCATATTTTTGTTCAATAATATTACAACAGTAGTATGAATAAGCAGAGATATTATGGGCTCAAAGAGCACTTTGTTTTATTCTCTGTAGGCTCAGGCCCGAGTCTGTTGTTTCAGAGTTCTCTTGAAAAAAAAAAAAAGATGGCGACGACGTCGTATCAGCTTCCTGCAGTTTTGTGCTTGTACATAGCGCGGCGCGTGGCATAATGCTACAAAATCTGCCGCTTCAACGAGAAACTTGCGTTGAGCTGAAAATTCCTGCAAACCGCAGAGAGCACAACATAAGAGGATAAACAATTAGGGTTTTTTCAATTTCAATTTATTTGCCTCTTCCATTCTTGTGCTCCCACTGTAGCCTTTCCCCTTCAATTTCAATATTTACAGGTAATGCTACATTTCCTTTTGGTTCTTTTAATCTTCTTTTTGCTTTATTGTACTTAAAATTTATTTATTCCTCTCACTCCTAATGCTTGCAAAGAACACCCAGAAAAACAAAGTTTTGATCTTTGTGAATTTCACAAACACATGGTTCTTTGGAGCTTTTTTTTTTGGTGAATTTATTATGGTTGTCTGCAGTAATAGATGACAGACTAGGGTTTAGTTCTTAGGGTAATTTTTTTTTTCTTCATCTGTTTTGAAAATAATAATAATTTTTTTTAGTGGGTTTGGTGTGTGAGATAGATGTTCTCTTGTTTTTTTTGTTAATCTTAAATTCCTGTTATGGGTTGGTGTAGGAGGTCGTTGTGTTCTGATGCATTATTAAAATTTGCAAAATGAATGATGCAAAAGAAAACCAGGAAGTTGGCCAGGGCGTGCCCTTGGCTGTGGAAGAAAACCAGCAGGTGGTTGATGCACAGGTTCAAATGAAACCTGAAGCTGCTTCTGCTCCTGTTTCAGTAGAGGAAACTTCAAATCATGGTGAAAATGGGAAGGCAGAGCAACCTGCTGAGGATAAAAATGTGAAATTTGAGGCTGCTTCAGAAGGCATTCCGCAACAAGATGTTGAAAATGGGAAGGAAGAGCAACCTGCTGAGGATAAAAATGTGAAACTTGAGGTTGCTTCCGAAGGCATTCCGCAACAGGATGCTCAGAGTATCCTTCACTCGGTCCCGGTAGAGGCTGATGCTGGGATTTTGAATAGAATGGAGTGTGGAGAAGCTTCTGATGGGAAGACGGAAGTTGAAGAATTTCCTGAGAGTAATAAGGGCGTTGAGAATGATGATAATGTTCGTCAAGATAGTGTTAATGATGCTGAAACAGCAGTGGAGGAGAAGCCTGAAGCTTGCGGAGTGGCTGATAGTAAAACATGCGATAATGGTGACCACATACCCTCAAGTCATAATGGGCCTGCTGAAAATAAAAATTGTAATAATGGTGACCTTATACCCTCAAGTCATAATGAGCCTACTACACCGCAACCTGCCCCTGCTGATACAAAAACTGAAATTAAGAATGTGTTAGAAGTTGAGAGTAAGGCTGATGAAAAGCAAGCTGCTGAGCATGTAGATAATGGGAATTCAAACTCAAAGCACATGTTTTTCTTGGATCCTGACCATTGTTATGATGGTAATGAGTCAGGAACGGATGAGGAGCAATCAGCTTTTATGAAGGAGCTTGAAAACTTCTTTAGGGAGAGGAGCATGGAATTCAAACCTCCCAAGTTTTACGGAGAAGGGCTTAATTGCCTTAAGTGAGTTATACGTGTTTATTTAAACTTTTCCCAATCTTTAAATATGACAAAAGTACACCAAATTCTAAAATATTTTCACTTTGGCTTAATGTTTAATTGTTGGAATATAAGGTTATGGAGAGCTGTAACAAGATTGGGTGGCTATGATAAGGTATTTTTTTTTTCTTTCTATTTTTCTTCTCCTGATGAATCAGTTTACAAATTTATGTCGAGGAATTTGGATGAATGAGTAAATATAGAGGTTCCTAGTAATTGCAAGCAGCGATTACTGGTTAAGCTGGTTGACAAACCTCATTTGATTGTTTAGCACATATCATTATTATTATTATTAATTATTTGGGTAACTTTTGTGGACTCAGCAGTGGTAATATGTTTATTCTCACATCAGTGTGTGAGATACTCTGCTATCATTGCCGAGGTATTTATGATTGCTAGCGTTGTATGAAAATAAGTATAATTCAAAGTATACATGCAATACCCAAGATTGTAGATATCTAAGATTCCCAGATATCCTACATTCTCATGACTATGGCATTCAGACATAGGCATTCGAGATAATGAGCTTTCTTAATTAATGGTATGAAGATACCAGCCTGCCAAATACTCCCTTAATGATCCTGAAATCTATTTTTGGCTGATACTTCACTTATAAAATTGCATAATTTTCTTCTATTCTTAAATAGGTTTCATGTATTTTACTCTAGAAGAGCAAAATTTCTGGGGGTTGTTTCTTGAGCCAAATTAATGTTGATTACACTCTAAGCTGTCAGTTTGTTTACTTTAGATCAGTTGTTTTGATTGTTTCCAGGATATACAGCTAATTGGCTTATATTTATGAATAGGTAACCTCATGTAAGTTATGGCGGCAAGTGGGGGAGTCTTTCAAACCTCCAAAGTAAGGATCGACTTGTACTTTCTTATCTAAATCTTGTTAATGGCTCTGAAATTGAAAAGTTTCTTATATGTGCAGTTTGCATTTCTGTTTTGTGTCTCTTTAAGTGTTACTGGATGTCAAATTTGTGTGTTCTGTCTATTTTGCTAAGCAATGGCACTATGCAATGATAGTCTGTATTGGAGAAGGATGATGAGAGCAATGGAAGTGTTTTTGAAAGTTCCAAGTGTCAATGGAAAACAAACTGATGGATGCTTGTGGTCTTCCAATATTTCTTCCCCCCTTTTCCCAGACCCTTTCCAACTACATTTTTTTACCTTCCCTTTTTCCTTTTTTTTTTCGGGGGGTGGTGGTGGTGGCAGTTGGGTAGGGTTATTGACTTATTGGATATTGTCAGCTGTTTGGATCGGAATTATTATTTATAATATATTAACACTGTCCTCTATTTTCAACTTATGCAGGACATGCACCACAGTTTCATGGACTTTTAGGGGATTTTATGAGAAGGTGATTTTAGAATAATAAGTGATACTTTAGCTTTTGTCTCTCTTTCTTTAATTACTTTCACAAATTACTAGTACAGTTTGTGTCTGTGTCTACTTGATGTTCTAAGTTTATATGTAGACTTTTTGTTTGGACATGAGTATTGACTTTTGATGTAGATGATATTCATTTACCTGAATTGCTTGGATAATTTTTGTTTACCACAATTTTCTGGTTTGTAAGATGATGAGCATCAAGCTATATGACCTTATCGGAGAATATTTCGTACCGCTTTACATAGTGGCCATGTGACAAAATCTTCTTATAATAAATTTAATACTGAAATGTGACATGGGCTACATTTTTTGTTTGTTTCCTTGCTCATGGTTGGCTTCAAATGCCTATTTTTTAACCATACTTGATTTAGAGGTTAATATGACATATTGGCTTACTTCATTATTATTTTTCCTATTTGCAAAATGTCAGAAAACTCTTATCAGATATTGTACCTTTAGAATTATGCATATATATTTTCTTTTTAACCCTTACTTTATTATTACTGTTTTTGATATACTACAGGCACTTCTTGATTATGAAAGGCATAAAATAAAAGGTGGTGAGCTGAATGTGCCTATTGCTCCTCAACCAGAGCCTGTTAATGTTGAAAATCAGGTAATATGTAATTTTTGTGTTTGATTTCCATAGCATGAGCAGTAATATAGAGGACCATTCTCATCAAATTCCCTGAAATAAGATGGGGAACTATTGGAAAACCACATTCAGCATCACCGTTATTTCACTGATTGACCGTGTTTGGATTAGTTTATTTTTGTATTCAAAACAGCTTATTTATCAGGTTCTTACTGAGAGCTTTTGGAAAGAAAAAAAAAGAAACGACTTTTCTCCCAAAATAATCAAAACCAAACATGCATTTACTAAACTTCAACAGGGTGCAATACTGTTCAGATTGTCTATCAAAATTATTTGTTTTGGTTTAAGAGAAGATTTTTAAGTCCTATTTATTAGTTCAAATTGCTCCTCATATGTTTTATCTCTAATAATTTTAGTTGCTGGCATGTGTCACTTCTAATGTTTGTAGTGGAAGTGGACTGACACTCAGATGAACTTTACCTACAATGTTAGAGGTTTGGATCTTGGAGGCACCATTATGGAGAGGGTTTTGCCAAATTACCACCCCTGCCCGAGGGATTAGGGTCACAGTTATGCCTGTGGGGGGGACACCTAGTCAAAAGATAAAAAATATGTCGCTTCTAATGTTTAGTACAAGATTGTTCTGAAGTCAAGTAGCATCATTATTTTACAGTTTCTGCTTTCACAAAATTAAATTGTATGTGGGTCCTCTCGTGCCTCACAACTTGAGGAGGCCTAATAAAATTTTGTTGCATCAGGAAAAAGTTCATTCTTGCGAACGTACTCCCCAGGCAAGATACTTAAGGTGTTAGCTACAGCGTTGCAAATGAGAAATCATAGTGTAGATCAAACTGCCGAATCAGAAAAATTGGACTTTTAGCTAGTGGGTATCATCTTAAGAGAATAGATAACTTTTAATAAGTTTTTTCTATTCAAATCCAACAGGAAACGAAAAGATAAAAGAGGTAATCTAATATTATAAAAATAATATACAGGATGGGTAACTCCTTTTTTTGCCCCCACGTTGCGACATGTTTAATCTGCATTTTTGTAGTCTTGTCTACTAATTTTTCTCCTTTCCCCGCCTATATGTAAGTAATGACCTGCATGTGGGATTAAGACATCATTAACTGTGAGTTAAATTTCATATGGAAGTTGCTTGGTTAATATCTGAAATTGGTCTCTACTTTGTCTTGCAATCCTGTAAATTTCCTCCTTTAGATGTGGTAGGCTTTGCAAGAGGAATTGAACTATGACTCTGTCATTATTGCTATAATCACTATAATTTTTTGTGCCTTACAATCATTTTTAAATGATGAATGTGTCCAGGCTTCAGCATCAGGCAGAGCCCGAAGAGATGCTGCAGCGCGGGCTATGCAGGGTTGGCACTCACAACGTCTCCTAGGCAATGGGGAAGTTAGTGACCCTATTATTAAGGTCTGGTAGAATTTTGAAGTTGTGATTTATGTTCTCCTGAATTCTTTTTCAGTTTCTGTGTCATTACATCTGTGTAATTCCTTTGATACTTTTGTTTTTCTTAGGATAGGAATTCCGTGTCTGTGCAAAAGCGTGAAAAGCAGCTTAAAAACATCAGTATGGTCTTTTATCCTATTGCTATCATTTTTAACAGTATAGATGGTGTTAAATGATTCTCACTATTGGATTCCCCCTTATTGATTCAGATTTACTTAAACGTAAGAAACCATCTTACATGGATAATGCAGTCAAAGCGGCACGCAGTAAACCATCTAAACCACAGTTAGGGCACAATTACTCCATTTTTTACCTCTCTTTTATCTTGTGTGTTGTGCTTTCTTACTTATATATTTGTCTAGTTAACAAGTGTGATATGTTGACAACCCATAACCTCACTACAAAGTGTTTACTTTGATGCTTTGGTTCATTCACTGACTTGCCTGCGTGTGTTGATGTGTGGCTGATAGATTGGACACAGCTGTGGTCGATATTGGACCTCCTGCTGATTGGGTAAAAGTCAATGTGCAAAAAACTGTAAGTTCTTTATTTTGTGTTCAAGTATAATATAAGCTGTATATGTAATTTACTCATAGCAATGAAAACTTTTCTGTGCAGAAAGATTGTTTTGAGGTATATGCTTTAGTTCCTGGTCTTCTGCGGGAAGAGGTACTACATATTCTGGTTGTTATATCTTTAATTTATCTGTATCAATTGTGTTATGATGAAAATTAAGCTTGTTGTTTTCTTTATTTCCCCCTTGGGAGGGTGTGAAATTCATGGTTGAGTGAGTGAGAAATTCAGTTTATACCAGGGCGAGATTACTTGTTTCTATATACTTTGTGATACTTCAACATTGAGCCATAAAATAACAAAAGAAAGTTGATTACTTGATTTTGTGTGAATTGCTTGATTCCCGTGTATAGATCCATGGTACATAAGCAAGCATAGTGGTGGTAGTCCCATTGACCAATCTTTTTAATAAGATTCTCCAGACGAATAAGATGCCTGATGTATGGAGGAAAAGTATGATTGTGCCTATCTACAAAAACAAGGGAGATATACAAAATTGTTCAAACTATAGAGGCATTAAGCTAATGAGCCATACTATGAAGTTGTGGGAGAGGGTTATTGAACATCGCTTGAGGAGAGATACCAAGGTTTCTGTAAATCAATTTGGATTTATGCCAGGAAGATGTACCATGGAAGCCATTTTCTTGATGCGGCAACTAATGGAAAGATACCGAGAAAAGAAGAAGGACTTGCATATGGTGTTCATAGACCTTGAGAAAGCATACGATAGGGTTCCAAGGAAAGTTTTATGGTGGGTCCTGGAGAAGAAAAAGGTTCCATTAAAGTATGTAAAGGCAATCAAGGATATGTACGATGGGGCTACTATATGTGTAAAAGCTTGTAACGGATCATCAAGTTATTTTCCTATCACGGTAGGTGTACACTAAGGGTCGGCTCTAAGTCCTTACCTCTTTGTCTTAGATATGGATGAACTAACAAAAGATATTCAAGAGGAAGTGCCATGGTGTATGCTTTTTGCAGACGATATTGTGCTTACTGATGAGAGCAATGAGGGTGTTAATAGAAAACTCGAATTGTGGAAAAGCACATTGGAATCCAGAGGATTCACATTAAGTCGAAGCAAGACTGAGTATCTGAAGTGTGAGTTTTCTCTGGTACGAGATGAGGACCAAGAACCTGTGCATCTAAATGGTCAAGAGGTACCCAAAAAAGATGTTTTTAAATACTTGGGCTCCATTTTACAAAACGGTGGAGAGATTGATGAGGATGTAAATCACAGAATCAGAGCAGGGTGGATGAAATGGCGCAGTGCATCTGCATTTTTGTGTGACCGCAAAATCCCCCTGAAGTTAAAAGGAAAATTCTATAAAACGGCAGTAAGACCAGCAATGCTATATGGAGCGGAATGCTGGCCAGCACATAGGCAACATGGGCATAAGATGGGAGTAGCAGAGATGAGGATGTTAAGGTGGATGTGTGGTTACACAAGGATGGATAAGATAAGAAATGAAGATATTCGACGAAAGGTCGGAGTAGTACCGGTAGCCGAGAAGATGAGAGAACATAGATTGAGGTGGTTTGGGCACGTGATGAGAAGACCCATGGATGCTCCTGTAAGAACAGAAGTTTGTTACCAAGAGCTAAACACAAAAAAAGGCAGAGGTAGGCCGAAGCTTACTTGGGGGAAAGTAGTAAAACAAGATTTAATGGAGTGAGATATAGATTGGCGGACAGTATGTCTTAGAAAGGAATGGAGAAAAGCTATAAGTATGGTGGAGGGTTAGACCCGCTGTTATTCCTATGTTCCAGATGGTCCCTTTTTAGTCCTTTTCCCCTTCATTTCCCCCACTTCTTCTTGTCCCTTTCTTTTTTACTTTTATTTATTTATATATACATATATATATTTTTTTTTTATTTTATTTTATTTTATTTTATTTTTTATTTTTTTATTTTATGTGTCTATTTTTATTTATTTATTTATTTATTTTTTTTGCTTTTTTTTTTTTCAACCGTTTTGTATCTTTCATGTGGGTTCATCTACCACCGACCCCAATTAATTTGGGATAAAGGTGTTGTTGATGTTGATGTTGACAAAGATGATGGTGTCCTTGCTTCAAAATGTTTTATAACAAGGGTATCAACAGTTTTAAGCTACATGCCAGCACATGGAGTAGAACCCTTGAAAACTGTAGGTGCAGTTTGTGCTCTCCTGAATTAGCAATTTCATTAATGCCACTATTATTTTTTTGAAGATAGTTAATACAACTTTACATTAGAGGATTTGCTTTTGGCATATGGGGATCAGAGTTAACTTTCCGTAAAGTGCTTTAATTGACTTATTCTACATTTTCCTTTTCTAGCATTTATTTTATTGTAAATTCTGTTTGTGGTAACTTTGTCTTTATTCAGATTTGTTAGCTTTTTAATGCAATGAGGCATGAATTTAAAAACATAATTTACATACTGAATTGAAGTTGTGGAGTTGAGGATAATCATGTATACTTTCTCAAACCAGGTCCGTGTTCAATCAGACCCTGCGGGTCGCTTGGTTATAAGTGGTGAGCCTGAGCATCCGAATAATCCTTGGGGTGTGACACCATTCAAAAAGGTAGATTTTCTTTTTCTTCAACAATGAGAAGGATGTTTCTGGCTTTGTCATTTTTTCAACAACTGCTATTGTTTCAACCTTCTACTTGATAATAACATGTATTGTTTACATGTCAATAACTTGTATAAATCCATGATGTATGTGCTGCAATTGTAGTGTTCATAGCAAAGCACCGTTGGATTTAAAGTGAAACAACCACCCTATATCTTCATCAATATTATTTTGCATCACTTGAGCTACAACTTTATTTTTTCAACATACTTAGTTGTCAGTAATCATTACAGTAAAAAGCTTACTAATTCATTCCATATTTAATCCATCATTTTTTTTTGGGGGGTAGGGGGGTTCTACATTATTCTTCTGGAATACTATGGCGTGTTACTCTTCCCGCTTTCTCTCTAATATAAAGAATTTTATGAATCCAGGTTGTCAGCTTGCCCTCAAGGATTGATCCTCATCAGACATCTGCTGTGGTGACACTGCATGGGCAGTTGTTTGTTCGTGTTCCATTTGAACAATCAGAATAGTGGTAGCTGATGGTTGTATGCCAAATCTTCTCTACCATGATTTATAGTATAGTTGACCCGAAAAACCATTTAGAGGAATTATTTCTGCCCTCAAAACTGGGTCAATTTCTAGCTTAGTGTAGTACTGGTATATATTTAATATTTTATGTTTCGGATATTTAATTTAAAATCCCCGTACATGGTTTTCTCAAGCATTGTAATTTGACCATGTTAATATGAGCTAGGTAGGATCCAGCCATTGCTTGAGAGTGGAGATTCATGTCATAATATTAGCAACTTGATTTGTGACATTACATTATACTTTTGATCTTTTATTTGTTACCAGTTGCATTGAATCTGCCCCACTTGCACCTACACTAATTAATTGGCAGGCCTTTTTTTATTACTGTATTTTTTCTTATAAAAGAAAAAAAAAGTGTGTAAACTTACCTTTAAAGTATTTTTTTTGTATTAAAAATGATGTAATTTATTTTCGTCTATACGAATTATTCCTCTCGCGTCAGATTCAACTTTTATTTGGAAGCTTGTAGCCCACAAGAATTAAACTCTTCGTCTTTTGGTTAAAGAAATTCTTATATGGTGTCAATATAACCCTTAAAAGTTTAAACAATTTGATGGAGATTTATAAATGATTTTATATTATTAAGACCTTATACTGTGGTTTCGACACCAGAACTTTCAAGATTGGCTCATAATTAGTGGCAAAATTGCATGCCAATAAATCGTTTTTTTATTTTTTTTATTTCTCCACTTCTATCCTTATATTTTAACTCGTAAGTTTCAATTACTCGTGAATTGGTTTGACTTGGTACATTGGGGTAATTAGTTGTTCGAAATTGATTAAGGTTAATTTGATAAAAATACTTATATTGAAGGCTCGATACCACCCAGTAGTATTTGGATCAACTGATAAAAGGTTATTCCGTTTAACAAGTTGGAGTAGAGCATTTTTAAGTTCCTGATTTTTCCACCAAAATGACACATAATACGAACCAAAGCAAGTATTTCTCATGCAAAAGAGGTCGTATACTAGTAAGCCGTGTCTCAAATCACGTTGCTCCCTCTTCTTTAAACTTTCACGTATCAAATAAATAAATAGATGATTTTGTTAACACTGACAAAACCCATGAGTAAATAGGTTAGTGGTCAACAATTAATGGATGCAAACGCAGTATTACCATTAAACAAATGACTAAAATCAAATTGCATATCTTCTTTTTCAGATCACCTTGTGATAAGAGTTAGTTTATTATTTTTAGGTTCCATGCTCTTGGGAAGCAAAAGAAAAAGGGGGATAATTGTTCATCGTCAAACTCATGCTTGTTGCTTCAGTTATTAATTTATTATACTATTGACTATATTGATACGTCCAACAAATTAAGACTTGACTTTTTTTGTGGTCGATAATGGTTTTCACAGACATTTTCTTGCAGACGTAATGTTTTAAACTAGATGCAAAACTATGATGTTGATGTTAATTTAAGAAATTATTAAAAATTTATTTTAAGTGAAATCCATTAATTACTTTAATGATATAGTTTTTTACTGTTCACTAGTAATATATGTAATTATTTGTACAGAACAGGAATGATAAAAGTTGGTGAAATTTAAATAGAACTTATGTTTGTTTGTTTGTTTTTTCTGTTTTTTTTTTTTTTTTACAAATTTAAAGAAAAATATAATTGATAGTAACTCAATTTAAGCACTTAATAGCAACAAGTTTCTTGTTTCATAAAGTAATAATCCATCTAAAAAAACTATACTTCTGAGATAATCTTTTGATGTTAATTTTAGTCCTTCTATGTTACAAATAATAAGTACTTCAGAAGTGGGCACTCTTTTAAATATATGCACAGTTAGTTAGGAATTAAATATGTGAGGGTAATGGATGGCTGTTAATACACAAAAGTTTTTTGGCTGCTAAAAAGTGGGAGTCTCTGGTTTCAAATGTCAAAGCTATGCTCTTCTTTTAACAAATATACACAAAGGTTGTTTAGACAGGTGAGGCAATAGCATCATAACAAGCATTCAGCAAACCAATGGGGATTGTCCCAAATATAAGGCAATAGTTATGCAGAGTTTTTGGCCAATGTTCAGATCACTTTCTTAATCTACCTCCCTTAATAACTTCATGTACTTCCTGTTTCATGAATTTATTACTTATACAAGTTTAACTTTGTTTTCCCTTTCTTGTCAGTCACTGTTATCTAGAAGCAGATACATCCATGAGATTGGAGAAACACTTACCATCAATGTTGGTTCGTATTAGGCAAGAAGAAGAACAAGGCATAGATAATCAATTCGGGTTCTTATTAAGACAAACACTTAGTTACATCTAGAACTAATGAAAATCCAATGGAGAGACTTGATGAGCTCATCTCATGGAAAATATAGAGATCATTTCCTTAATTCTCCAAAAAAAACAAGTACCAAATGTTGAATTTTTGGCTTTATTAATTAATGTTTTCTTGCTATTTTAAAATTATTCGGGTTGATGAAATATTTCAATTCAATTAAATTTAAGCCGATTGTACTCATATTATCTTTTTTTTTTGGCTGATCACATTTGAGTAGATTTGACCTAATTGAGCAGTATTGTAGGCTTTAGTGTAATTCTGATTTTTATAATTGGTGGACCTAGTGAACACATATTATTTTTGGCTAGATTCCCTCTCTAGTTAAAGCACACATAGAGGTTGACAATGTGTGCTTTCTATGTTCCAATTGTAAAGGCTGCCAAAAACAACAAAGGATAGAGAGAAAGATTTAGTATCAAATTCACCCCTTTAAGGTACGCACAGTAGCACATTTGATTTTATTATAAGGGAAAATAAAGTCTTATGCCGCTGGTGATATAATTTTTTTCCTACACACACCATCAAAAGTCATGCAACTCTTTTTTAAAAAAAAAACTATGGCAGGCCCGTTGTTTTTGTGGGTCAGTTGGAGATAAAAAAAGTCTCTTCTGTAACAGGAGATACATAAAGCCCTTGTTATAATTATTATAATGTTGATGTTCTATAGACAATTTTTAATTTTTATCACCAAATTAACAACAATAATAATAGCTTACAAGGTGGGTATCAAAGATAACATCAATTTTCAATGAAAACTGTGGATCAGCTACTCTTTTGGAAGATTAGAGGATCTTTTTGACACAAACCTGTAGTAATTAAAGATATCATAAATCTGAGTGAGCATTAGCCCTCAAAGTTCGTTATTATCATTAAAGGCAAGCAGCAATCAGACAAATTTTTTATGGAAAACATGGAACTCATCACATTCTTAATAAGAAAAGCCAGCCACTCCAACATAAAAGCCAATTCAGAAGTCAAACTTTGTTAGACTAACAAAGCTCGAATAATCATATTATAATATAGGCTTAGCTACACAATTCCGGAATCTCACCAATTTGTTACTGATTATCATATTACTGGGCCGCTTTAGTCACCTACTTTGAAAAAGAATCGATGGCATTTTTCTCTTTTGCTTGTTTTCCTTGTCCCCCCAATGGCCCTACCCCACCAATCAATGATTCAATACCTTGATGTTTAATTGTTTATCACCCCTTCCAATATTTAAACATACATGAGTTTTCAAGTTTGGTCCTGATCACATATATCACAACTCAAACACCTTTGTCTATGCAGCACCAGACCAATCCAAAGTTCCAAAACAGTCCAAATCTACAAATTTCCAAGTTTCTTCCTTCATTCTCCTTCACACCACACCTATCATTATTACTTCACCATCCAAAAAGTCACCCTCTAACCTTATATATTTGTACACAACACAAGTTGCTCCCCACAATCCCTCCCTGGCTAGCATACACCAAAACATGGGACATATGAGTTACAATAGAGTTAGCAGTGGCAAGGGATCATCCTGCCATGCAAAATGCAGGGGATTTAGGTTAAACCTCAGAAGGCTTTACTTTCTGCGCCTACGCAAGAGGTTCAAATTCTTCATCAGGCTCTTTGATAGGTGGAAACTCTCATATGCTCAGGTTCTTCATCTGCTGAAGAAAGTGTTTCACAGAAAAGGTGGCTTCAAAAGAAACAACAACAACAACAACAACAACAGAAACAGAAGTGGTTTAGTAAGAGAGGAAAGAATCAAGGGTCAAGCTGATTGTAGGTTATCATCTTATGGGAGGAACAATTCTTTCTATGCAGAAGCCATTGCAGATTGCTTGGAGTTCATCAAACGAACATCTATTTCTTCCATGGACCAAATTCAAGACCCAATTGGTCATATTCATGATAGAAACTCATGACTCATTTTGTTTTCTTGGTTTTGGTAGAGAGAAAATTAATATGCCAAGATTAGCTTATCTTGGTTTTTTTTGGTGTCCTCTTAAAACTATCATGAATTTCTGTGTTTTTGTCTTCTTTTATTTTTTAGGAATGATTGAGAATATATAGTTCTTCCTCTTTCTGTATATATATATATATATATATATATTTCATCTAAAGTTTTGCATTGGCAGTGAGTTATTCTCTGTAAACAAGTTTGAAAAATGTCATAACTAGTAAGATATTGTTCCTTCAATTTAGAAATCTTATTAAACATTACAGAGAATGTAGATTTTTTTCTTTTTAATGGCAAGTGGCAATGGTTGAATGGTTTATACTTCTTAGTCGGTACATATGAAGATTCTAAAGGTGGTATAAGTATTACCACCTAACACAACAATCGTTTTTTTGACTAATCTAAACATAAAGTTAAGTCTAAAGGGAAGATTATTGATGACATTAGAAAGAGAATGGCACTCATATCCCGGAATTTGTAAATTGTTTCTTTGTTATAATTTAGTTCACATGAGTTCCATTCTTAACCATATTGAAATAATAAAACTTTATTCCCATATTAGTACTGTTGATGATGATTAGGCATCCACTAATGCTTAGCTTTTCAGCTAATAATCTAGGGATTTGTTGGTGGGCCATACTGAGGCTGCTATTACAAGGCCAGGTTGTACCTAAATTGGCTTACAGGTTAGCTCTACTTACCAACCCTGTCCATAATAATCTAGGTTTTGAAATCCTAATACCAACAGTTCTCGATTTATTGTTAGTGTAACATTAATATGTAATGTGTTCTTATAATATTAAGAGTGTAACTTTAAATAATTATTATAGTAATCAAATTCTTTTAATAATGATTGAATTAAAAGTTTATAGAATATTTAATATCTTTATAAAGTTTCACGTTAATTATATATTTTTCGCCTGTCAGTATATAAAATTATTTTTTTTAAAGAGGAAACTGTTCATTTGATTACCTAATTATAGTTGTTTATTTTCTTTAAACTTTTACCTACAGTGTCAGTATAAACTTTATTTATAAGAGTATTATTATTTTTTATTATAACGATATTTGCAATTTTATTTTTGCGACTTAATTGGTAACTTGAGCTATATATATCACTCACTCTCTAATTTTAGCTTGTGTACACAAAACACAATAAACCCAAAAGGTTTGCAAGAGTATAAAAAAAAGTTCCTATATAAGGGCAAGGCAAACAATTGTACTGTACCCACTCCATTTTTTTATTTTATTTCAGCTAACCAAAAAAATTGAAGAAAAAGAAAAGAAAATGCATCCAAGCGTTCGTAACTAATTCACGAATTTTTTTTCGTGAGATTCATCATTAACTTTTCATTTTTTAACTACGTGAAAAAGAAGTATTATTTAAAATGTCACAATATCCTTTAGGTGATTTACACAAAGTATGACCGGTCATATTTTGTGTAAATCTGAAAAGTTATTTTTTTTTCTCTTCCAATTCACATCGCTGACGTGTAAAGTGAAAAAAAAAAAAAACTTTTCAGATTTACACAAAGTATGACCAGTTATACTTTGTGTAAGTCATAGTCACTAAAAAAAACAACTTGTGTCCTTCTAATGACACACACTAAATCCTTTAAGTTTAACTATTTGTTTAGTTTCACATGCAAGTCACGTAAATAACTAGCAATTTTATTAATGATTTTTTTTTATTTTGGTGTTCAAATGATGAAGTCTAGAGAGTTATCTCCACGTTTGCAAACCCTAATGTTAATGAATTTAATGTTTCTTGTGTTATATAAGATAATTTTATCTCTTATAAAAGTATATAAGGCCTATATGGGATTATGCGAAGAGAAAAGAGAAAAAAAATTGGCCTCGTATGCCTTTACATGTGTGTAAAAGATAAAATTATCTCCTACGTCATGAAGAATACCAATCACAAAGTTAATACCAGAGTTTTAAAATCTGGTTCGGACCAGCCGAGTCGACCCGGTGGGTTCCCCGGTCCGAGCGGGTAGTTGGACCGCTTCTGCAGTCAACTCGGATTGGACCGGCCAAAACTCGGCGACCCGGTTTACCCGGGTTAGACCGGTTATTCCTTCTTCTTCTTTTTTGGTAATTTTGTTGTTGTTGATAAGAACTCTTGAATTAAATCATATTCATATTTTATGATGAATATGATTAAAAGTAAGGTGAAAATAATAAGGTATTTTAGATTAGTGCAGTTCTTTTATGTTCGTTTATGTAATTTAGTTGTATCTTATAATGATCTCACGAAGTTAAGTGGTAATAAACATTGATGGTCTCATGATCTCATCTCAACGGTGGACACTTTTTTTTAGTGTATATTTCATGCATACTATTTATTATCATGATAACGGTGACACTTTTTTCTTAGTGTATATTTCATGCATACTATTTGTTATCATGATTTAATTTATCCGTATCATGTCAAAGCACAAAAGGTGCATTTAACTTATATTGCAATTTTAATCCAATATTAGGATATGGTCTAGAGCTAGAAGTTTAAAAGTATATAATATTTGCTATCATTGAAAATCAATTTATTTTTTGAAGCTCATTGATAGTTTTCTTATATGAATTTTTATTAATATAAGTAATATTTTTATATTTTAATATGTGAACAGTAAATCCGGTTCAACCCGATTGAACCAGTGACTCAGTACCTCGATCGGTTTAATGACCGGTCCGAGTTTTAAAACACTGGTCAATACACATAAACAAAATTTAAAAGGTGTAACATGCAGCTAACCCAAATATGAAAAATGGTTGGCCCAAGTCGAGATGCACCCTAATAAAGTTTGGGCAATGTTTTTCTCATGTTATATGAGACACATTGTCTTATGTAGAGACATAATTAGGTGGGTCTCACAATTAAAAATAAAAATTTTGCCTTAAATTTTGATGTATATATAACATGAGATAAAAAATTTCGTAGAAAAACATTTCCCATGAAATTTACCTGTATCAGCATCAAGAAAGAACTTGTGTGTTATGTTATCCTTAACTATGCGTACAAGGACATTAAGGAACACCCTAGGTAGAAAGACAAGAGAACCAAAGCAAAGAATAATATATTCAAAAAGAAAAAAAAGCAAAGAATAATTAGGATTATAATTAAAAAGAATATAAAATATAAATAATTAAATAGAATGGGTTAAAAACAAATAAATAACCTAAAATTAAAAGGAGGAAGAGAAGAGAAGGAGGGAAATGAGATTTAGATTTTGCCCTAATCTGAATTGGAACAATCTCTTAAACAAAGCGCGCGACTTGGTCTGTGTTGGACTCGCTTCCGCCACTTCCACCGCCACTTTCGCCACCTCCACCGCCCCTTTCACCACCATGAGTGACATTCAGATCCAAAAAACGAAACTCTGCATCATCGGTAGTGGTCCCGCAGCTCATACCGCCGCCACCTACGCCGCTCGCGCCGAGCTGAAACCCATTCTCTTCGAGGGTTGGATGGCCAATGACATTGCTCCCGGCGGCCAACTCACCACAACCACCGACGTCGAGAACTTCCCCGGATTCCCTGACGGGATCATGGGCGGCGAGCTCATGGAACGTTGCCGCAAGCAGTCGCAGCGCTTCGGCACCGAGATCTTCACCGAGACAGTGTCCAAGGTCGATTTCTCCAAACGACCTTTTAGGGTTTTCACCGATTCCAGAACCGTCGAGGCCGAGTCCGTCATCGTTGCCACCGGAGCCGTCGCCAAGCGGTTGCCGTTCACCGGCTCCGGCGACGGTCCCGACGGGTATTGGAACAGGGGGATCTCGGCTTGCGCGGTGTGCGACGGTGCGGCTCCTATTTTCAGGAACAAGCCGCTGGCGGTGATCGGCGGTGGGGATTCGGCCATGGAGGAAGCCACGTTCCTCACCAAGTACGGTTCCGAAGTGTACATTATTCACCGGAGGGACAAGTTTAGGGCTTCGAAGATTATGCAGAACAAGGCGTTGAGCAATCCGAAGATCAAAGTTATATGGAATTCGGCGGTGGTTGAGGCTTATGGGGACGGAGATAAAAAGAGAGTTCTAGGGGGGCTGAAAGTGAAGAATTTGGTGACGGAAGAGGTGTCTGATTTGAAGGTGTCTGGGTTGTTCTTTGCAATTGGGCACGAGCCTGCCACGAAGTTCTTGGAGGGTCAGCTTGAACTGGATTCTGATGGGTACGTTGTGACAAAGCCAGGGACCACAAAGACCAGTATTGAGGGAGTGTTTGCTGCTGGGGATGTTCAGGACAAGAAGTATAGGCAAGCTATTACCGCTGCTGGCACTGGTAATTCAACTGTCTTTTCGCACCACTATTACATTATAGATTCATCTAAGGTGGAGATGAGTGTTTATTGAGGTGTGTGTGTTTTGTGTGTGTGTGTGTGTGTGTGTGTCTGTGTGCTTATGATCCCAGTTTTGAAACATAGCCATGTTTTCTCCATTTTCTCAGTGTATTTCACTTTTAGTTGGTACAGTTCCTATAGTTGATTATCGCTTAACATAATTGCTGACTGCCCATTATTCGACTGACTGGTAAACCAAGCTTGCAGACTGTTCGAGTGGCTATTCCTATTATATTACCTTTGTTGTTGCCTTTACTCACCATACATGATATATCTTCTCAAACTTGAATATGAGACTATTTTTCACCAATTTAAGGCAATGGTTGTGTTGCAATTTGGAAAGAAAATTAATCCTGTCTAAACAGATTTTTGGGTGGTGATTCTCTGAAGTTCTAGCTGATATATGCATCCTTAATAGAGTCATTCATCGTCATAATCATCATCAAAACGATACTATTGAAGATAAGCGTATGCACATTGTTGAAATGGGTCTCACTCTTCTTGCTCAAGCTTCCTTACCCTTTTCTTATTGGAATCACGCTTTTCTCTCTATAGTCTACCTTATCAACACATTACCTACTTCCTCCTTACAGCATGAGGTCCCGTTTACTAGGTTGTATCACAAATATCCTGAGTATAGTTTTCACAAGGTCTTTGGTTGTGCTTGTTATTTCTTCCTTAGTCCATATAATCATCACAGGCTGGAATTTTGGTCTACTTACTGTACTTTTATTGGTTGCTATTCAAATCACAGAGGGTATATGTGTTTAGCTTGCAAAGATAGGATTTATGTGTCTAAGGATATTCTTTTTAATGAATTCAGGTTTCCCTAGTGAGTTGTTTAAGTTCATGTCTTCTTCTCATTTCCTTAAGCTCTTTGTCTGTTCCAGCCACTCCCCAGTTTTCTTCAATTGATGAGCTCTGGGTTAACACTTGTCTCCAAGTGAACAATTCAGAAATCCAGCCTCCTCTCCTTCAGTTCCATATGCTTCCTCTGTCTCATCTCCTGCTTCCGTTCCACTTTCAGTCGCTCTATCATCATCTTTTGATCCTGATAATTCTACCCTTCTACTGTATCCTCTCAATCTACCACGGCTTTTTCTTCTCTTCCATCTGTCTCTAGGTCCCATTTAGTCTATGCAAACTAGGTCCAAGTCCGGTTATCTATAAACCTCGGCTGTGTCCTACTCTGCTACTTGCTCACTTGGAACCTATCACAGTTAAGAAGGATTTTTCCCAATCCCCAATGGCAGGCAGCCATGCAGGTTGGGTGTGATCCTTTTTGGCTATTAACACATGGACATTCGTGAATTTGCCTTCAACTTGGCACTCACTAATCGTTGGTCTATTCAACAGTTTGACGTGCCTTTTTCAATGGCTATCTTGTGGAGGTTTACATGCATGAACCTCCGAGCGGAAATAATGGTCAATATGATAATTAATGTTCAAAGCACTCTATACTTGTCTAACTGTGTATGTGGAAATTTAAACCTGATTTGTTCTGTTATTGGAATGAAATTAATGAGAATATATATTCGATCAATTAAAGAGGTCAAATTGTAGGAATGGGGATTTCCAAATTGTTTTATCATGTGTTTTAGTTATATTTGAACTGAAAGTAATTTAAGACCATATTGTAAAAAATGTTTGCGCTGCCTATCTTTGGTTTTGATAGTTATTATTGGCCATTGCCCTTAAAAATTTCCACAATAATCAGAGTTAGGTCCATGTTTCACAAATGTTTTTTTTTCTCCTCCTCAAAGGATAATGAAATTCATGTCATCGGTGCAGGGTGCATGGCAGCTTTGGATGCAGAACATTACCTGCAAGGGATTGGTTTGCAACAGGATAAGACTGATTGACTAGCCAGGGGGTATCCGGTGTTCAGAAGATGCTTAATTAGAAGCAACGTTTAATTTTCATATAAGAATGGAAAAAGCTTTTTCTGTACCTGCTATAATCTTTATTTGTGCGTTGTGGTCATAATTTGATTGCTGAGATAGACTTGCATTATTTTAGAAGCAACGAAGCTCATATACACACGTATTTGTAGTATGATATATTGGGCCTATGGAATGTGTCAGTTACTTTGATGATGCAAAGATATTTGCTTGCGTGTAGTTAAATTGATGCATTCATAGATACCAGCTACTGGCTATTTTCAAGGGACTTGTTCAGTGAATGGAACAGACACCTATAGAGAATGTGTCAGTCATTGTGATAGTCCATAGATATTTGCTTGCGTGTAGTTAAATTGATGTATTCATAAGCTGTAGCTGGGCGATTTTCAAGGGACTTGACGGTTCAGTCCATTGAATAGACATGTTCTGGCCTTCTATAGACCATGTCAAAGTCACCTTTTAGGGAGTAAAGATGTATTTAAATAAGCTTAAAAAAAATGTTTTTATGATTTTTTAAAGCTGTTTGATGTAAGTTTTGAGAAAAGTATTCATGTTTGTGATTTTTCTTTTTTAATTTAATTGTCATAAATTTTTAAAACATTTTTTCATTAAAAGGTACCCTTTTTAAAAAAAAAAAAAAACACAAATAATCGGTTTCTAAATTCGCATGGAAATACAATTTGTTACGGGTAGAATTTTCGAAACCACTTACTTTTACAAGCTGGATATCTTATTGTAATAAACCTGAAATTTAGGTCGTTGTTGGCTTTGTTTTGACTCAGTAGAGAGTTGTTTTATTTCCTCACCCTCTTGGAATTTGGAATTTAGATGTATTAGAATACGAGGTATGAGATGTCGTAGTATCTTGATATATATGGCTAGAAAACTATGGAAGATGGATTTTGAACCGCTTTCTTGTTAAACTACCAATTCCTAGAAGTGCTGGTGGAAAGAAATTGGTGGAAATCTATCTAACACCTTGTCCTGAATCGGAATTTCATTGGCAATTTCCCTGTAATCACTCGTGGCTTTAAAACATTGCAGAAAAATGATTTTACCTTGAGGTCAGAGTGAATTAGTATTACATGTATAAACCATTAAAAATTGAATATTCATTGTGACCAAAATGGTTGTGACCCATTGAGAATCATCTGTTTCTCCGCACCAAATAAAGAGAGAAACAGAGATTGCCCAAGCCAAAACCGAATTCATTAGCAATTGTGATCATGGCAAGTGTATGGTTAGGTCCCATGTATATATGCAGCTAAGCGCCCTAGCTATTGAATTAAAGACGGGAACAGTTTTAGTAGAGAAGCTGAAAGCTCCCTTCCCCTGTGAGTTATAACGCTTGCAACACAAATAAAAAAACTATATTAAATTCTAGTGCCATTGTTTTCTTGAATGATTCATATTGTGTACAGTGTCAACTATCATTATCTTCTTATACAATCCATCGGTAGGGGTGTGTAAAATAACAAAAAAATTGAACCAAATCATTTTGAAACGAACCGTTTTCAAATCAAACCAAATTGATTTTTATAACTTTTTTTTTTAATTTTTTTTTTCATTTCAAAATAGAGTCGACCCAAACCGGTTCCGAACCACTTTCGAACCGAATCAGTTTTGAACCGAACCGAACTATTTAAACCAATTTGATTCAATTTTTTAAAAAATTCGATTCGGTTCGATTCGATCCATAGATATTCCTACCCATCGGTTAAAATAGATGTGGAAAAGAAAAGTGATTCGCATACTGCCATGCATATTATCCAACTGAGTATAGAGATTAATCATCCAGAACATACCACGGCATAAGTAAATAAAGATATAAGTTGTTTCCACGCGAAAAGTCAAACTTTCACCTTTGAAGAGCAGTTCTAAAATGTTATACAAAAGGAAGTATAATAAATTGGGTAAAAAGCATCAAGCCGTCTTAGCTCAGCTGGTAGAGCGCGTGGCTTTTAACCACGTGGTCGTGGGTTCGATTCCCACAGACGGCGAAGTTGAAATTTTTTAAGTTCTTTTTTTATGCAAGAGCTCACGTTTCGTTCGTGTTTATCAATTATCATTGGTATGACAATTATGTCAATTGATTAGTTTTTCCAATGTGGGTATCCGTTCACGTGATGACTCGCGGTCTTCTTTGGATCTTAGTAGTAGCAAAGTCAATAGCTTACAAAAATTTGATCACGCGACCGTTTCCCTAGATGCATTATTAAAACATTTTTTTCTAATACATCCATTATTAAAACATTTTACAACTGCCTGTAATTTGATAAATTGAGAATAAATTCTCTCATATAAAATTTTTATATGATTTGATTATATAAAATTTTTATATAATCAGATCATGTAAAATTTTAACATTAATTAAACCTCAATTCGAAAATTGATGTGATTATAAATATGACGAGTTTATCTCAGAGAAAAAATATGAAAAGTTCAAATTTGTAGATAATAATATTCACGAAGGGAAGCGAGTTCATTTATTTATTATTTTTTTGTTTAAGTAGATGAAGGGAAGTGATTTCAATATAGCGAGCCAGAGAACGTCATCCTACGCATGAGTGGAAGATATGTCCCAACATTGTCAGACTATCAATATTTTATTTTTTTTACGGAAATATAGTTTTTACTAGCCGGCGTGTAATGGAAAAATGATCACAATGTCACTGTTCATCAAATTTTTTATTCAAATGACATACGAACAATGTTATTTCTCAATATGTCATGTGAGCAAGTTCGCTAGGCACTGTAGCAAACTCCATTTGCAGACGTGTCACGTTTTTAGTGGACATCAAGTCTGCTACCCAGGATAGCAAACTTGATTGCAATCAGTGGCGGACCTGTATATGTTTTAGTGTGTGCAAGTGTACACACAAATTTTTTGGAGAAAATAAAGAATAAAATATATTTTGGATCATCAACAAAAATTAAAGGATCTAATTTAATCTCTTAAAAAAAAATCGACTCGTGACCCCTTTAAATTTTAAAATAGACCCATGTTAGTCTTTTTGAGGGATTAATGTGGGTCTTTTTAAATTTTAGAGCACCATGATTTTGATTATCTGAATCTATTTTTGAATTCTGAGGTATCACGAGTAGACTTTTTTTTTCCTAAGAGATTAAATTGAGGCCCGTAATTTTTGTTGAGGACCCAAAATGTTCTACCGTAACAATTTAGTTGACTCTTGATTACTTTTTTATATTAAGTTAAAGTTTTTTTTTATAATGTATTCTTTTGTATTTGAATATATTTAAAATTTTCTTTAAATTTTTTTTTCTTTATTCTTTTATTATAAGTGTGCAGACATTAAAAAAATTTCTAGGTCCGCTATTGGTTGCAATACATAAAAACGTGACAGCAAAGTAGCTACCTCAAGTAGAGAATTTGGTGTCCACTAGAAACGTGACATGTCAGCAAATCGAGTTCGCTATAGTACCCAACAAACTTGCTCACGTGACATATTGAGAAATAACATTGTTCGTGTGACATTTAGGTAAAAAAAACTTAATAAACAGTGACATTTTGATCAGCATTCCTATCGTTTAAAACTATTGCCTCTTTAATATGTCTAGTCATGCAGACAAATATTTAACTAGATCCCATATTAAAAATTTCTTATTTTTATGAGTATTTCTTTAAAAAAATTTAATCTTATTTTTATGAGTATTTCTTTAAAAAAATTTAATTTATGTGCAATCCCATTTTATTTTGATTTTAAAAAAATCAATGGCTCAACCTGAAATTGGATATATTCAGTTTGGATTAAATAACTTTTTTTCACAAATATAAATATATAATCTATCCCTATCCGAATTTAATTAATTAATTTGAATAATGTTGTTCACCAAAAAAAAAAATTTGAATAGTGTTGTTACTTGGAATTTGATGCAACTTGTGTGCGGCTTTAAGTAACTTTTTTATATTTGGTTTTGTTTAATTTGGGTTAATTAAATTTTTTAACAAATTTATCTAATTAGTTTGAACAATTTTTTACCTTTAAATTTGTTGGAAATTAACAATCACACAAATCGATAAAACAGAAAAGAGAAAAGAGATTGACCTGATGATTTATCATGGTTCACTCAATGTAAGCTACGTTTAGTTTGTTTGTACTATATTTATCTCACCGCCACTCGTTACAAGTCATTCGATTTACAAAGAAAATATAAATAAGATTAAAAAAAATCCTAACAGCAACTATTTGTGGCCCAAGCACAATCTACTAATAAAAGTAAAATTAAAAAATCAGTTGGATTTCTGCTGACCCTGCCAACAACAAGGGTTGTCATCTGACTGCAAAGGATGAGCCATACTTAACATTCTCCCACTCGTTGAATGCTTCGCATATTCCTTTAGTTCCAATGCAACTGTACACCATTCTAACTTCTTTGAATTAATTGCCTTGGTCAGAAAATCAACACTGTTGACCTTTGTGTCAACCTTCTCCAATAGTACAATCTTGTCTTCAACCTTCTCTCTGATGAAATGGTTCTGTATGCCGATGTGCTTGGTCCTTGCATAGAATCCTGTGTTCTTAGCCAAGAAAATGGTGCTCTAACTATCACACCCAACGGTCACCTCTCCTTGTGCAAAGCCAAGCTCTTTGCACAATCTTCGCAACCAAATAGCCTCCTTGACAACATGTGTCAAGACCATGTACTCAGCCTCTATAATGGATAAAGCAACTATGTTTTGCCTCTTACTCATCCAACTGATAACTCCACCAAATGAGAAAATAACATATCCACTTGTAGACCTTCTACAATCAATGTCACTTCCTCAATTAGCATCCACAAAGCATCTCAGTTCTAATAATGTCTGTCCTCTTGAGCCCTTCACGCCTTCACAGCATAACCCAAGTACAAATCATTGCATACATCAAACTCCCAAATGCACTAACATAAAGAACTGATGGCATCTCTTCTTTTTCTTCAGTCTTGAGACACTATTCAGCCGATAACTTAGAACTAGTAGACATGGGAGTCAACACAAGTTTTGTAGTCAGTCATCTTCAATTTATTCAGAACATCCTCTATATACTTCTGCTGACTCAACCATAATCTTCCTTTGCCACGCTCCCTCTTAATCTGCATACCCAATATCACATTTGCAGCGCCTAAAT